TGACAGTAAGCCACAAAACAACTTTTTCCAACACTCAGCTACTCTCCACCAATGAAGATGGAACTTTTTATTCTGAAAATTGTGAACATATGAACTGCTATTCCCACCAGATTTCATTTCTCTCAAAATCTTGCCTCCACTAATGGGCAATAGCATATGCTATAGAGAAGATGATGAGAGTAAACACACAGTGATGCTTCCCAGTACAGTCATCAGCAACTTGTAGCTCAGAGACCTCCCAAGCAGAAGTATTACCTTCTTTAAAAGGAATCTCTGATGGATTTTTGTAGCATTTGGAATAGACACAAAGAAAGTCTAGAGCTGTTTGATCCACAGAGGCTGTCACTAATCACCACAAATGCCATCTGCTTTTAAACTAGCACACAGTAAGGTTTTTCCAACACTTGCTCCTTCTATCCGAAGGTTGCTCTGTGATCTTACTGCTCCAGTTAAAACCACTCCTGTCTACCACCAGTATCACAAGAACTGATCAGGAACAATTTTCACATAAGATGTTAGAGGTGAGAGATGTTACTCTAAATAAATTGCCTGTGAAAACCTGGCATCAGGTGAGAACCAACAGGGCTCCCAGTACGTTCCTGCTCTGTTTTCTTCCCACTCACCTGGAGGCCCCATGAACTGCTCACAAGAAGCCACAGTTTCCAAAGAAAAAGAAAAACAGAGAACAAGCAGTCACGACTCACCATGGGAATTTCAGCAGGAAATACACATCTATACCCAACTTCAAAGATAATAAGAGCCTTGAAGGTGCAGAATTATAACAATCTAGAAAAAATAATAATGCACTGAGAAAAGCTGAAGAGAAAAGTAGTCAGGGCAAAAAAAAAGCAAGCAATCTCATCTAAAGAGAAACTATTTCCAGCAAAGAGGTGGTACCTGCACCAGCCTGTCTCTTCAGGATGACAGCAATGCCCCCCCCCCCCCGATTCCTCACTTAGTAAACACCTTCCTTCAGCAAGGACACTCAAAAAGGAGAGACTCTCCATAAGAAATTCAAGGGAATGAGGGAAAAAAGCACTGAAGTGAAACAAATCATTTGATGATGTCCATAGAAAAGTTTTCCAGGGATATCTGATTATTGTACAATAATCTCCATGGGAAGCATTAAAGCCCCTGAAAGCATGAGAAACACAGAATCATGCCAAAGAGTAATGAAAATAAACTCTAATGAGCTTTTCAGCTCTGGTCTCCAAGGGCGGCTATCTGATCTTTCACATGTGCCATAAGGCAAGGTACTGCTCCATCTAAATGCTAGGAAGTCAGCTGAGACAATTTCCACATAGATTTCAACTTCCCAAAGGAAAAGCATTTCTTTGGTTAGTACACACACATACTGGCTTTCAAGTTCAAACCCTCATTATAAAAAGGCACAACAGCAAACATGACAGCTCCACAGTACTGTACAACCTTCCCTCCTATACCGCCTACTTGCCAACTGCCTGATATACTATCAAGGTGTCCCAGCCACCCCAGCAGCCCAGAACACTCCTTTGCTGATACAACCCAACATGCACCATGTTCCTTCCTTTGAGATTCTTCCTTAAAGAGGAGTACAGCTGCAGCCCCGGTTTCAGCAGATGTTCCCTCAGAGATCCAAACTAACACACAGACAACTTTTTCAAAAGAACAGTAATTCACAGGCGAAAGAGCTACTTTCCGAAAAGGTCACTTACCTACAACTTCCAAAAAGCGGAAAATCAGTTCAACACTAAGCTGCTCCATACAGGGCCTTTTTAGTACTTCCTTGCTGTTCTTCATATTGATATTATTGACCATTAGCAGGCAGACATATGTACTACATAACTGTTCAATTTAACCATGAATATGAATAAGAAGCCCTAAGTAGTAAAACGTAGTTTTATTAGTTTGCATACCCAACTTAAAAATAACAAAAACCCATACTGTTATGCAACTTCTTCTGGGAGTCCAGGGAAAGAAAACTAAACTAAGACTCACAAATAAGCTGCCCAATACTACACATTAATTGGTTATGATAACAATTCATGTATTAGATCAGTGCCCCTTTAAAGGGCAATTTAGGGTATATTTTCTTGAAATGTTAATAAATATGAGTTAAAACTATTCTCCCCTGTAGCAGCACTTTAATTACCACATGCAAAAAATGTCATACTGCTTTCCCTCTTGTAATAATTCCTGTGACAATATTCTGAATAAAGACAAATCTACCACAAAAAATAATAAAGCTCTACAATCGCTTTTTCAGTTACATGGTTTGGTTTTTTTTTTTTCATGTTCCCTGGTCCTTTGAATTTGAATGGGCATTGAGAAGATCCTTTTAAGCCACATCAGTTCACACAATCATCACACACAGCACTAGGAACTAATTTGCAGGAAGTCCTTCAACTGAAGATTAGAATAAACAGCAATGTTTGTCTTGAGCTGATACTTTTGTCTGCCAATCATGTATGTATTTTAAGACAAATCCTGATGCTACATGAGCACAGACCTTGCAATTTTTCCTGTAGCACTCTTTTTACTAGAATATATTTAGAGACCTTATATCTAAATAGGTACTTGTCTTTGTTTTCTTGTGTGCAATAAGGGGTGCAACAAATGAGTTCCTCCTTGGTTTTACGAGCTAGATCTCTATACTATGGCCTTTGACACATTTTAGTGCCTACAGTACTTTTGTAAAGATATTATTAAACATGATAATTTAAATAATGATACCTGGCAAATAAGCAAATTAAGTACACTCCAGAATGTGTTCTTTCTTTTCCTAAATTGCTCAGTTTTCCATTGGCTTGCAAAATTCAGCAGCCTGCTGTACCAGTCATTACCATGAACTGGAGCTTCTTTCGAGTACAACTATGCAGAAGCTAAATGTGCCAGGATGATATACAGGCTTCCACCTAATACTAGCTAATTTAATTTCTGTTAGCTTTTAATTCATATTAGCTTCTGGCCTACTGGATTCATACGCTCCATAAAAACCACAGGCAACAGCTCAGATCCCCCTTTTTAATAAGGCACAAAACACTACTCAGCTCCCCTGAAGATACTAACATGCAATCATACACCTTTCTATCAATGTCCTGGAAATAGCAATATCTTTGTTCAACAGACAAGAAAACTCCTGTACCTGTAACCCCAGTACAGTGTGGGTTTCCCCCATGACTCTTTGCAATGCTTAAAAACTTAAGAGGTGTACTCCACATTCTTTGGAACTCATTCCAAGCAAATCACAGTTTAACAATAAAGGATTTACTTACTCATCATCCATAATCACTCATTTTAATTACAAGCTTTTAATGTGACTTGCCACAATTATCAGTGTACTACTGAAAGGATCAGCAGCAGAGCAGAAACAAAAATCCTGAGGGCAGATTATTTCACCACATTAGGCAGCACCACCCCAGGATTTCTACCACATGGGCAATTTTTAACAGTTCCAAGACAGGTAGATGTTGCACAATGATGCAGATTCTTTGGCTTCAATCCTGAAAACACATAACACAAGTACAGCTATTCCCTGTACAGCTATCCCCTGTTGTTAAGACTACTCAGGTAACACACTCATTGCTACCACTTGCAGACCTCAGATTCCATTCTACACTAAGGAGATGAGAAGGAACCAAATGGCACTTCCAAACACTGGATTTTACTGGGTATTCATAAAAAAATCATCACATATTCATCATCACAGCCTTCTATGAACTTGTGTCACTGCTGAACCTAGGATACTGTGAATGCATTTTACATGAAACCTTTACGTGCAACCTTTGTCTTGTACTAACCAGTAGCGATTTTAAATGCTGAACTTAAACATAAGAAATACCAAAATGTTTCCGTCCTCAAAGAACTCACCCGTTTTAAGGGAAAACAATCTGTAGCACTCCGTGAGAAACTACTTAAAAATTTATTTCAAACTTACTGGCATTTTCATGAAACACCCATTTTAAAATAGCCTGAAAGATACATCTGTTGATTAAAAATATGTTAGCATCACAGTGACTTAGAAAATGGATCGATGAGAACAAGCATCATCATCATCACCAGAACAAGAACGAAGAAAACCCTTAGGTGTCACTACACACATTTATCTTCTGTGATGCTCCATGACTTGCACCACTTCATAGAACTCAGCAGTTTAGCTGTTCAAAGTACATTAACAAATACAGCTCACAGCCTGTTTCAGAACAGAAAAACACGGGTTCGGGGTTGTTCTGTTGTATTCTGTTTTTCCCCAGAGGCTCTTTTCCTCTCCTCTGTGCGCTTCAACACAAGCCACCGCTGTGCAGGCCAGAGCAGCCCAAGGGGTGGACCCATCGCGGAGCTCCACCGCGGGGCAGCAGCAGGGACCCCGCACACACCAGGCACCGGGGCACCTCCAGCCACAGCCGCGCCACTCTCCAACGCCTCTACGGTAAATCATCGACGTGAACCCACAGTAAACACTAAAACTGGTCAGTTGGCTTTTTCTTTTTAAGCTCCACAGACGCTGTAGTGATGGAGTTCTCCGAACACCCGTGACCACAGGCACGGGCAGGCCCTGGCACACACGCTGAGGCGAAATACGCTCCTAAACCCCACCGACACAGCGGAACGCCCCTGCAAAACCCACCGTAATGGAGGCCTGACCCGGGCCGTTTCCCGCTGCAAGGGGAAGCCGCACCACCTGACCTGGCAAGCCCGGGCCGACCTCGAGACCCCACAAACCCGGCAGCGGGGCGGCACGGCGGGAGCCGGGAGGGCAGCCCGGGCCGAACCGCCCCCCACTCCCGGCATGGGGCCGACCCGGCCCCTCGCACCCGGCGGTGACACCGCGCTCCCGGCCGCCTGAAATGGAGGACGTTGGGCCGCGGCCAGCGCCGCACCCGCAGGTACGCACCTCGCCGGCAGGCGAGCGGCACGGCCCCACCGCCGCGGGAGCCTTTCCTCTGCTCCCCGCCCTTACCGGTGCGGGGGAAGAAGCTCCACCGGGCGCCCCAGGCCCACTCCCCGCCCGTGGTACCTACCACCTCGGCCAGCTTGATCTTGCCGAGGGTGCCCCGCAGGTAGTCCAGGTCGCAGCGGAGGCCGCCGAGCCCCCGGCGCTGGCTGACGGGCTCCGTAGTGGGCTGGTAGGGACTGCTGGTCCCCGAGATCATGGAGGTGCTGGACGCCTCGCCATCGAAGCCCTCCAAGTCATCGCCGTTCCTCATGGTACCGGTGGGGCAGGGGCCGGTGCCGCCGCGCTGCTGAGGGAATGGCCGCGGAGCTCCGGCCCGCGCCGAGCCTCGCCGCGCTTGCCTAGCGGAGCGCCGGCTGCATGGCCATCCCCATCCCCATCCCCGTCCCCGTCCCCGCGTCAGGCGCAGCGGTGCGGGGACAGCGAGGGCAGCATGGTGCGATGCGAGGAGGAGAGCTTCCTGCGCCCCGCCGCTCGGGGGCGCACTCTCCCCGCACAGGGGCTCGAAGGAGCCGCCGTGCCCCGGCCAGCCGCAGCGCGTCCGGACAGGGCTGGAGCTGAGGCAGGCACCGGGACGCCGTCGTCGCCCGCACCCCGCGGTTCGCTCCGCACTCTTGTCCCAGCAGAAGCAGCTCTGCCGCGCTCCGCTCCACTCCGGTCCGACCGGGGCTGCTGCCGCTCCTCCCCTTGCGCTCAGCGGAAAGGGCGGGGAGAGCCCGCCCCGCCGGGCGCGCCGACACCGGGCGGTGCCTCCACCGGCCCGCGCCCGCCCGCCCCTCCCTGCCCCGCGACCGGCACCTGCCCCCGGTCCCGCTCCGCCCGGGGCCGGGTCCCTGCGCTCGGCGGGCGGTGGGGCACGGCTGGTAGCGCCCGAGGTGGTGGCCCTCGGGAAGGCGTCAGCGCGGGTGTGGGAAGGCCGGCAGGGAGTCGGTGAGCCTGGCTGCGGGAGCCGCTGCAGAAGAGAAGGTTCCGGGGGACCTTACCACAGCCTTTCGGTTCTTGAAAGGGCCTGTAGGAAAGATGGGGAGAGACTGCTTAGCAGGGCCTGCAGCGACAGGACAAGGGGTGATGGTTTTAAAGTAAAAGAGGGGAGGTTGAGGCTGGACATGAGGAAAGAATTCTTTACAGTGATCCTGGCACAGTCGCCCAGAGAGGTGGATGAACCATCCCTGGAGACATTCAAGGCCAGGGTGGATGTGGTACTGGACAACCTGAGCCAGTTGAAGATGTCTCTGCTCATACAAGGGGGTTGGAACTGGATGACTTTTGAAGGTCCCTTCTGACCCAAAGTGTTCTGTGATTCTGTGGTACTGACATTTTAAAGTGTGGTCATAGCTCAGGATTAGTCCCTTGAGACACACAGAGCAGTTCACACCACTCAGAATTACACTTTGAAGCTGTTAGGATGCTGCAGCCACAGTATTTTGAACACTGGAAACCTCCAGGGTATTCTTCCATAAGTGTTAGAACAGTTCAAAGTGTAATTTTCAGTAGTGAATGGTTCGCTTTGACAGGGTCTGAACCACTTTTTGGGAACACTTATGTCACCATAAATAAGGAGAAATCACGACATAATCTGGCAAATACAGGTGTGTCAAATGCAGCTGAGAAAGTTTTTACGTGAGGAGAGCCAGGCAGGCTGCTGTGCAACAGTTCTCAAACTGAAATTCAAGTGTTTGGTGTTGCATCCTGTGATGTACCAGCTTTATCTGCCAGATCCCAGCTCTTCTTTCATGGACAGTCTGCCCTGTTTTCTCTTATTTCACATTACCAATACAGGACTTTCACATGCATTATTCTTCTAGCATCTTCCTCTGACCTCCAAGAGTCTTTCTTACTGGTACATTTTTCCCTTTTCCATTAACACTATGGGTTATCAACCTTGGGGTTGATTTCCTTTCCAGTTACCTCTGTGTTCTGCTTCATTTCTCCCTTTTGGTTCCCTTGAAAACCCTTTAATCTTTCTTTTTGAGGGTTCTGCCCGGTACCATGTGAATTTTAATTTCAAGATATTTTTCTTCTTTAGCCAGTGTATCAATCAAACACAGGAAGCAAGGCCAAAGAGACAGACTCAGAGCACATCAGCGAAAGACTCGGGGGTTTGCCTACCATTAGTGTTCACTGCTTGGTTAACTGGAGACACAGTTCAGAGCATGCAGGCAAGAGAAAGCTTCTTAGCTTCACTGCTATACCAGGCTGCTGGAAGAGACCAATATTCTCCAGTGAGATGAAAAGTTCAGGAACATGCCTAAGAAAACACAGACATTGCCCTTTGGTGAAGAGCAAATGGCAGGCAAATGAAAACCTGAGAAGGGTGTGAAGGATGGTAACTTCTGCTTGGGTCACATGAAACTAACCTAACAATCCAAAACCATAAACAAAAGGGAAAAGTCCTGTGCTGGCTGGCACAGGACTGGCCATGATGGGCTGGCAGGTTTCATAGAATCATAGAATAGTTAGGATTAGAAAGGACCTTAAGATCATCAAGTTCCAACCCCCTTGCCATGGGCAGGGACCCCTCACATGAAACCATGACACCCAAGGCTCTGTCCAACCTGGCCTTGAACACCACAGGGATGGAGCATTCACAGCCTCCCTGGGCAACCCATTCCAGTGCCTCACCACCCTAACAGGAAAGAACTTCTTCCTTATATCCAATCGAAACTTTCCCTGTTTGAGTTTTAATCCATTACCCCTTGTCCTGTCACTACAGTCTCTAATGAAGAGTCCCTCCCCAGCACCCTTATAGGCCCCCTTCAGATACTGGAAGGCTGCTATGAGGTCTCCAAGCAGCCTTCTCTTCTCCAGGCTGAACAGCCCCAGCTTTCTCATCCTGCCTTTATACAGGAGGTGCTCCAGTCCCCTGATCATCCTCATGGCCTTCTTCTGGACTTGTTCCAACAGTTCCATGTCCTTTTATGTTGAGGACACCAGAACTGCACACAATATTCCAGGTGAGGTCTCACAAGAGCAGAGGAGAGGGGCAGGATCACCTCCTTTGACCTGCTGGTCACACTCATTTCGCAGTCTTATTTCAGGTCTTGTATAACTCTGGGAGCCTCACAAAGGTCCTTTTCTTGCAGGAAAATCACATGTAGGTGATTGCCACTTCCAAGAGATTCTCTGGATTCTTTTTAACCGAAGGCTCCACAGCTCTTTTGGGATCACAGGTTACCCACATTCACCTATAGAGACATGTACCACTTGTTCTGAGGGACTCCTGTGGTAGTCATAGAAAATTATCCTGAGCAAAACAGTAACGACATTTTTGAAACATGCGGTATTATTTTGGTGTATCTTTTTCAGTTTTAACCGAAACACATCAGTATGTTGAAAGAGAATCAAAAGGTGGAATCGCAGAGAGCAAATGAAGGTCAAAGGGAGAGATGACTGAATGATTTAAGAAGGCGGCTAGGTGAGGTGGGGGACACAAAGTTCAAATGTATTTAAATCATTAGAGCATTTTGAGAATCTGATGCAGTATGGACTCCCTGCAACCCCTCTGTTCGTCAGAGTGCTAACTGCCCGGGTAGTGGAGGCACAGTGTGTTCTCTCTGCTCTTGTTTGAAGTGTCACCTGAACAATTGTGACGCCTGTTTGCCCAGCGTCACAGACAGTGGTTTCACAGCCGTTCCAGGGCAACAGGACACGGGCATCACCACCTATGGCGACCATGCCCCTTCCAGCACAGAACTGCCGGCATCCCCCTCACTCCAAACAGCACCATGGCAATGCCAAGCCATAGTGGGCAGTTTCTGGTGTCCTCCTGGACGGGTGGGTGGGCTGGAGAGACTTGGGAATGGCTCGTGAGGTTGCTGCCAGCATTTAACAAAGGAATCCCTTACACACGTTCTTGCCTGAAACAGTACCTTTTGAGTCTGCTCTGTAGCGCTGGAAGAAAAGCAACTTCCAAGTTTAGTACATAAATAAAAGTATTGATCCAGTAAAAAGGTCATTGTGTTCATCCAACACAAATCACACTGTTTTCAGATAACTTTGTTTTTAGAAGTTCATAAGCTTTTCAAACACAGCCTGCCACTAGGACAGTGGGGAACTAGGTCAACGATCAGTGCTGAAAACACTACCACAGTTTCAAGCTAATCAGATCACTGAAGTCATCAGAGTGGGCTTCATATCCAGTATCACTGAACAGTGAAAGCAAGGAAGAAACAGCACAGAGGGGGGAGGAAATCCAAGTATGCTATTCATAGACACTATAATTACATGATCCAAAATCCGTATTTTTACAGAATGGCCAACTGAGCTTTGACAGAATTAAAAGCGTCCCATCAGAAAGAATCTTGATAATGAAAGAATCTCCATTTATCTCCACTGGTGATAAATGAAAACCAACTGGTGATGTAGTTGTAAAAAGCAGTGCAAAGAGAATCTTCAATATTATCACTGATCAAAGTGAAGAAAATCACCCTCATCTCTCATGTTTGATCTCAGCCACTTACAGAGCCTTTAATAAACTTGTGAACTCCTTGTGGGTTCATTTCATTAAGCACATTTAAGTTTTATTTTCAACATTAAAGTGTGTGATTCTATTGCAACTGGGTAGGAATACCGACTTAAAAGCAGATTTTTAGAGCTGCATTAATGTTTTTTAACACACTTAAAATAATCTAATATTTATACATAAAATTTTGTCGTTCTGAATGGTGCTTATTACAAACGGTGCTTAAGTGTAGTTAAGAGCATGAAAGGAATTAGAATCCTAACAGAAAGTTACATCTGTGCAAGTACCTGAAAATTGCTCAGAGGTTCTTTAAGAAAATGCTCCAGTATTTCCACATGACCTACCAAAGGGAAGGAGCACTGGTATGCTGCCAAATTCCAAGAGAGCTGAGCAGTGATTAGAGTTTAACTCTGGCATCAGAGAGGAGGCTTTTTCCCCCTTGAATTTCTCTCTGTAAAAAATGATGAAGCTTTTTCTCAACTTTTCATTTGGGAGGAAAAAAAAAAACCCTACTAAATCCCACCCTAAGAAGCTAATAAAGAACTTGCTTTAGGAAAACATCTGGTATTTTCAAGTGGCTTGAGTAAACTGTCCATTTTCACAGTGTGGCATGCACACTTTGATTCTGTAGCCATGAGCAACATGGGAAGCAGACAAATAATTTTGCTGAGTCAGAGTTAGGAATTAATGCAAGAGGAATAAGCTGTAAGTTCTGACATGGCCTTTAAGCAGAAGGAAAACTGGACAGAATGAAGGGGCATCATGCAGCCAGGTATCTATAACTAGTAGAGGATAACTGAGGCTGAATGGTACAGCAGTATAGCAGTGCTGATTCCTACTTCCCCACATCCAACCACAACTGAAGGAGCATAGCACAACCCCACATAGTAAGACCCCTCAGCATAAAGGC